CATTTAATTGAATCAAATATTCAAAGTCTGAACTAGACATGCGAATGAAATTTTTATATTGACCGCTTAACTCCTGGGATTTAAGATCTAACATCAAAGTAGCTCCACATCGTTTTTTATATATGTCTGTTCTCCACCATCTTCGCGATTTTTTATCAGTCACTAATTCTTGCATTATAATGAAAGCACCACATGCTAAGGTAAAATGTTGTAACGTCTCAAGAAGTTGAGCGTCCATGTTCACGCACGAGCATACACTGCAACAGTGCAACAGCTGTGGAAACGATATTTACATGAGTTCGCGCCAAATTGTTGCACTACAAAACAAATTTCGTCCACATTGCATTACATGTTGCATTACACGTTGCATTACACGTTGCAGCGTAGATGTGTACACGGCTTAACGTGCATGCGCTATACCCAGATGGTAAAAAGATTTCGGTGAGATTGCGGGGATTGCGGCGGGACTTCGGCAGGATTGCGGGAATTCGGTCTGATTGCGGAGACTTTCGGCGAAAATTAGTACATTGAATTCGGCAGGATTGGCGGGGATTTCGGTGAGATTTCGGTGAGATTTCTGGGAATTCGGATTGATTGCCTTGAATTCGGCAGGATTGCGGGGAATTCGGCAAGATTTCGGAGGATTTCGGGGGATTGCGGCGGGATTTCGGGCCAAATGTACAGTGATTTCGGGAGTGGTTACCCCCCTGTCTTTAACTAACTTAAAATCGATAGGAAAATCATTGTTGGTTTCAAAAAAATTACAATAATCAAAATCAGATTCCTCAGTTTCCTGTGACGGAGAAGGTAATCGAGATAAACTATCCGCCATATTGTGTTCAGAACGAACAAATTCGATCTCATAATTATAATTCGATAATATTACTGCCCATCGTTTTAAACGATTTGCACAGAATTGAGGTATACCTTTCTTCGGATTGAAAATAGAAATTAAAGGTTTATGATCAGTGACTAAAGTAAATCTTTTAGCATAAAGATATTGATGAAATTTTCGAAGCCCAACAATTATCGCTAAACCTTCCTTTTCTATTTGACTATATTTTTTCTCTGCTTCATTCAAAGACCGTGATGCATAGGCAATAGGTTTTTCACTTCCATTCTCACATGTGTGAGAAAGGATTGCACCTATACCGTATTGTGATGCATCCACAGACAAATTAATTTTCAATTCTGGATTGAAGTGAACCCGAGGGGGTAACCACTCTAGTGAAAACGTACACGTATTTCTAGAAATCTGGAAATCACTTGCGATTTTTAAGCGATTTCGTTGATTTCTCGAAAACCACTTGGGATTTCTGGTTGATTTCCTGGAAATCACTTGCGATTTCTCATTGATTTCCCGGAAATCATTTGCGATTTCCCTATATTATGCAATGATTTCTATAATTTCTTTAAAGTTACATAGGATTTGTGGCGTGTGGTGGTGTTGTAAGGTAAAAAAAGCAAGGCAAATACGAACCTAGTGGTATAATATTTGTAGATACGTATGTCACTATGTACCTTTTTGGTCTGCAAATGAAATCACACCTAGATTGCGTTGCATTTTAAAGTTCAGTTTGCAGATAATGAATAGCTAATAACTATTAATAAAAGTATTTAGTTAACCAGCCTTTTCTTAAGTGCTCACAAAATAATAAGAATAATATTAATATTATATTTAGTAAATTTGCACAATAATACCATTTGCCAAAATCTTTGAAAGCATAGCATAAATATCTACCATCATCTGTTTTGGAATCGAATGTTAATGTATCGCAATATTAGATCTGATAAGCACTCTATCGTGATCTTGACTTCACATCGACAAAACAAGTAAAGAAAACCTTTCTAATGATGTTGGTTGTTCTCTATCCAATAATATTATTAAAACACAACAAGAGAAGATACAAAGATATAAAGATTTCGCTATAGAAATTAAACGAGTATCTTATCCAAGTTTTGATAATACCAATAGTAATATTAGCAACTGGTATAATATTTCTAGAAACCTCTATGGCTACCTGAAAATCTCAATTTACCTGACGGACTAATTGCAAAAAGCAGTTTACTTGAAACTTAATCTAGCCAGGAAATTCCTATCCTTGGGATAGAATGAAGTTTGATTTCATGAATAGAAATACCGCTAAAAATGCACGATAAATAAAATAAAAGTAAAATAATAATGACGTTTTATTTAGCGCCCAAGCTATAACAAAAATATAGACATAAAACCTCGCATAAAACGTATTATTTATGTCTAGGACGTATGTGAAGTATTGCTAAATATTTACAGCGCTACTTTTAATTTTTTTTAATATTTTTTCTACTTTCTGTTTTTCATATCTTGTTAGGGTAAATGGACCACTACCCTTTAAGTCCACAGGTCCATAGAATATGTAGGATCTTTCTACATTTTGGATGTCCTCAACTTTCGGCCATATGTATGAGTCAAGATCGTGTTTTAGAAATTTCATCTTGTAGACCTGTTCACATGCGGTGTTTAATTTCCTGATTTCGATTACTCGACCTATGTACCATATATCATGTATCAAGGACAATTTCTCAGTTTCAGTTTTGGTGTGGTAAGAAAATGCTATTAAGCAGACTGAATTGATATTTTTTTGAATTTGAGAAGAATATTGTTTACGAAAACATCACCTATACAAAGTGATTTTTTTGAACATTTCTATTCAATTTGTTGAATCCAGATCTGCACATAATTGCACATAAGATTTAAATTTCGTTATCACTTTTGGTTTTGATGAGACATACGCTCGGCTGTCATGATAATAAATTTATAACTGTCTTAAGACGAATTAATTTATAACGATAATTATTATTTATCACTTACAATTTATAACAATAACTCAAAAATATCGAAGTTGGAAATGTCGTATAATGCAATCCAATTTGCTTATATAATAAAGTCAAGTGTTCGCGAGCGGTTACGAACATTCCAGAACAAAATATGTCATTTCCGGGATTGCGTCACATCTGCCTCCGTTCTGTATCGCCGATTACTAATCTTTCATGGCGCTTCGATATCTATAGAAATTTTTGGAATGTTCGCTGCAATATGAATACATTTATTTCCATGGAAATTATCTGTCAAATAAGTTTAACTGAAATCTGAAAGAAAGTCCCTAACTAATATTTGACCGCCAATTAACCAATTTCTAGACCTAGAGGAATGTGAAAAAGTCTTCATTTTTCTGCACTACCTCTAACTTGAGAGTAACACATAGAAAAACCACAGGATCAAATCGCATCAAACATGTTGTCAAATAACTATTTCATGGAAGGCATTCGGAATTTTGTTTCCATAATGTCACTTCTGTTGCCGCTAAGGCCGATAGGAAGCTTCAATCTAGATCAAAGTAACTGGAGAATCTTGAATTTGCGCGCGCTTTTCTCAGCTAACACAGACCTAAAAAATGGTTCAACACCAAATGAATTACGATTTACCACTGACGATTCCAGTAACTCTCGCAGTAACTCCATGGGTAACTCGAGCCACGACGAAAGTTGGCGAAGATTTCCGGCAGAGTATTTTTGAACTGATTTCCGATGATTTCCACGAGATTTCTTAGCTGATTTCTGCGATTTCTTAACTGATTTCCACGATTTCGAAGTGATTTCTGCGATTTCTTAAGCGATTTCCGCGATTTCGAAGTGATTTCCGAGATTTCAGAAGTGATTTCTGCGATTTCCACAGTAAAACGTACATGTATTTCCAGAGTGGTTACCCCCTCGAGTGAACCAAAACATCAGCAGACAACAAAATAAGTTTTACTTTTTCGAATGACCTTTGACAATCTGAAGTCCAACTCCAGTTACAGTTTTTTTTAAGTAAACAATATAAAGGGTATAACAGCGTTGCTAAATTAGGAACAAATTTACCATAAAAATTTACAAGTCCCAAAAAAGATTTTAGCTGCGTTACATTAGTTGGAATTGGTGCATTCTTAATTGCTAGGATTTTATCTTCAGTAGGATGTAAACCATCCTTATCAATTACGAATCCTAAATATTGAACTGATTTTTGAAAAAAACAGCATTTATTACAACTTAATTTTAAACCACAATCTTGTCATTTACTTTACTGATTTTAATCGATTCAAATGCTCATTTTCATTTCTCCCAGTAATAAGGATGTCATCTAAAAATGCTATGACTCCAGGTAGCCCTTGTAAAATTCTATTAATTATATAATATATAATAATATTTGAAATTTTGCTGGTGCGCAAACTATTCCATATGGAAGCCTATTATATCTATAAAGACCCTTATGAGTAGATATAGTAACATATTGTTTAGAAGCTACGTCTAATTCCACTTGCTGGTATGTCTGTGATGAATTTAGAGAAAAATTCTCCACCTTGTAACGTACTAAACAAATCTTCGATTCGTGGAATACAAGGAAAATCCGCTATCAAATATGGATTGCAGGTAACTTTAAAGTCTCCACAAATACGTACATTACAGTCTTTTTTTAACACACACAATCGGTGCAGCCCATTCACTATAATCTACAGACGATATCACACCTAACTTTTCTAAGTTATCTAATTCCTTTTCTAACTTATCTCTTAACGCATATGGCGGTGGTCTAGGTTTGTGAAACTTTGGTGTTACAGTGGTCTCTTTTAATTGCAACGTAAACACCCCTTTATTAAATTTACCAAGACCTGGTGCAAAAACGTTAGAATATTTGGAAATTATTTGTTCCAAATCTGCATTAACAAAATTTACGCTCCCATTCTTATCGCAAATATTTAAATTATAAGAATACAAAAAATCTCTGCCTAAAATAGGACAGCTACCATCTTCAATAACAAAAAATTAACCTTATTTTTGTAGGTAATTTTTAACTTAAGATATCCTCATGGTCGTATTTTGACACCATTATAAAAATACAATGACTTATCTGTTTCGATAAGCGCAAACTTAAAGAAAAGTTCTCTGTACAATTGATACGAAATTGCAAATATACTACTAGACCCAGTATCTAATTGAAATTCCAGTTCTACACCTTCGACCAATACGCTTATCATTATAGGCACATTTTGCTTAGAAGTAATTGAAAACAATGACATTTTTTTCAAACTCACTAGCATTTTCCTCGTCCATAAAATGATTAACTTTCGACGGTACCTTACTTTTAGACTTGCGGTGAGACGACCCTGGTGATTGTTGCGAAGATGATTTTACTAGACAAACGGGTGCCAGATGTCCTTTCTTGTTGCAACGATGACAAGAATAGTCGCGGTACTTGCAGTCTTTTGCCATATGGGTTGATCGCCCACAAACCGTGCATTTACTACGTAACTTGTGGCGGCTACCGGAACTGATGTGATGAAGGTCGGGTTCCTCTTTACAAACGACTTTCTGCAAATCAAAATGATTAACTACGGCTGTTTTATTGAAAGCAATTTCAATGGCATTTGATAACGAAACTGTCACTTTTTCCTCGAGTAACCTGTCCAAGATAGGACCTGGATTAAATCCCATGATAAAAATATCACGAAGAACAACTGGTAATTCCGTTCCAAACTCACAATGTGTTGCTAAACCACGTACTCGCGCTGCCCAATCATTCACCCATTCAGTGTCTGTCTTTTTGGCGTTGTAGAATTTGTATCTTGCCGCCAAACACCACGCTTTTGGTGCAAAATGATTATTTAACACTTTAATTAAATTATCAAATGACTGTTCTTCTGGCGCTTTAGGAATACACAAGTCATAAACCAGTTTATATGTTTGCTCACATAAACAAGTTAACAAAATAGCACGTTTTTTAACATCATCTTGAATGCCGTTCACCACAAAATAATTGTTTAATCGCGCTTTATAGATTGTCCAATCACTGTTTTTGAAACTAAATTCTGGTAAATGTCCAACACTTGCGGCACTGACAGCCATTGTTTAACTGATGCACAATTTATTTGTAAATGTTAACAATATCCTTTAAAAATCCACGTCGCCAATGTTGGTTGTATTTGCACGGGGCCGGAGAAGGAAACAAACATGTTACTTTACACAGCGTTTATTCCTTACTGAATTGTACGGCGAATTCGGATATCAATATTGGGAAAAACCCAATACATTACACAATTACAACTAATTTAGACGACACTAATAATGTGTAGATGGTCCACTACTTCTTACGCATTCTGATACTCCACTGGGCATACATTCTTTCCTCAAACTTTAAAGGCGCTTGGCAAGGTGTTAGCCCCGCTTGTCCTCAGCCAGGTCTGCATTTCTGTGTTTGGGTATTATTGGAGAAGTGATTTCAGCGTGCCTCAAATACTTACCCAAAAATGTCCACCAGCTCTCCTACTATTAAGTTACGGCAGTATACGGAAACTTTTTTGTTATAAGTTTTGCGAAAAAAACATTCTTGTTCTGCTGGTTCCAAAACTCTAATGTACCATTTAGCTTTTTTTTAATGCGAGGTTTTCGAATAAATTACATCAGAATTGAAAGATGAAATCAAGTAAGCACAGTCCCATGTATACTTCACGAAATAAATTCTCTGCTTTTAAAACAAAATTTCAGGCACTTCGCGTGGAGCGTAGCATTTTAAAGCATTTAGAGTTTTGGAACAAGCAGGGACTTTCTATGAAGTAAAACTCACAATAAAAAAGTGTTTCTTATGTCGACAACTAGACACACTGTATATAAAACTACTTAGATCACAGTATACCAATGTTAACATTATAGCGGTTTGTTTGTAGTTGACATTTCTATTTGTTGCACGAAAATATTACAAAAAGTGTGTTAGTGAGTTTTTCTTAAAAATGAACATACAATGTAATTATTTCTAAAGTGATATTCATGTAGAAGTAGACATAAGGATTTCCTATACTTAGGAATTGCCTGTGTCTACTTTTAACTGATAAAAAGTCGTCTGAAGAACACCAATCTTTATGCAACCAAAATAACTACCTACAACAAATGAAGATCTGCCTGACATATTAATTCATTTGAATATTATCGCTTTGACTTTCGTATTCTAATTTTCGTTCGTGTGCGATGTATTCAACTAAAGAAAAAGTTGATATTTACAATTCGTATAGTGCCGATAACAATTAAAATAGCTTAAGATATTTATTTTCTGTGACTCAAAGCAACAATATTCAAATTAATAATTAATATAACAGCCAGGTCTTTATTTGTTTCAAGAAGTTATTTTGGTTGTGTAAAATTAGGCGTCCTGCAGAAGACTTTTTATCATTTGAAAGTAGACATAGGAAATCCCTATGTCTACTTCTACATGACTATCACTGTATGTTCATTTAAAAAAAAACAGATCAATGTAATCTAATAATCAGAAAACGTAAGTGGTGCAGTCCTGCAGTTAAATGGCAAATTAATAAATCTGTTCCTGGTGTCTGGTGAAGTTATGTAAGGTCCTAAAAAAAAAAAATAATCACACACGTACATTTTTTTCGGCGAAACTGGGCGACCACGTAGTGTGTAGGTCATATTTGAGCTTGTACAGGTACTTTGAACAAATACAAGTGCTTGTAAAGTGTCCAGTAATGAGTAACCTGCTTTAGAGGTTATGACAAGAAATCGATATGTTTCGTTTAGCAACTTACCTGAACAATAATTTACTGTTGATTCAATACGAAGTAACGCAAATCGTTGCAATTGCACTGTGTTAAAAGGTAAATAGGATTATTACCTACATCCAAAATTCATAATTCTCAGCACCGCTTGTAAAAGATGGTTGTGACCATGGTACAATAAGACAAAGTATGCCTATAACCATTGAATAAAAATAGTGTTTTTATTCAATGCTATAACTAAACGCAGATGACGTTTTTATCCCAATGACGTCACAAGAATCACCGCCAAGTTTGAAAATGACATACGCTTCATACTTCATTAGGAGTTGTTACATATTTATTTCAAATCGATCGATTTTATACGATCCTAAACGATTATGTTCGCTCTTATGCATTTTCGGTAACGTAGATTATTACTATTCGAAAAAGCTGGCTGCCGTTAAATTTTCCTTCGCTAGAATAGTTGATCTTTAAAAATAGACGCATTATTGATATTGGTATCTCTCCGAAGTTGTTGGAGGCTTTGAGTTATAGTCCGGGAGGTAGCGTCAAATTTTCATGGGTGATTATACCGCGAATTTCCAGTTTCTTATCGATTAGTTTTTCGTACAAAAATGAAGAAAACGTATGTTAGCTGACGCGACCCCGTGTCTTAGATTCCGAGAGCGTGCGCATCTCGCAAGAAAAAATAGATTTTCGGAGCATTTTACTGTAGTTGAAAATTTTCTGGTAGATAATTGGTAAGATTTTCTTGACGAAAAAAAATGTTAGCTGCGAGATCACTTCGGCATTCGATTCAGAAGTTGGCATTGAATCATCAGTCGATGTAGGTGTAGATATTTTGGCGGTAGAGCACAAAATCTTTGGTAGCAATTTCGATGGAACATCGGATTCGCTTCAATTGTTTCTGGCAATAACACATTATTGAAAGCAAGATTATTTTTTTTACGTATCACCAATACACTTTTGCACTTTTCCAAAGTTGATTCACTAAACAATTTGGAGCAAAATAAACAGAAAGACATTTCGAATCACGTGGACCGAACAGCAAGAAACTATAAAAGACACTGCTTTATTGTATGACTGATTTCTCATGAAAATGTTCGCTGTGTATACGATACAGTCGTAAATACTTGAGATGTTATTTTAAGAATGTCATGATCTGCTGAATTCAAGCGACGCGCCGTGTAATCTACTCACCGCGCGTTGCACTTCAAACGCGCAGCTAACAGGTTAAGTCACACCTGTGCATCAGCTAACATTTATTTATACAGTTCTCATTCCCTTAACTGTCACATAAACAAATTTTAGCTCCAGTAAAATAGTCCAAATTTTCCAATTTTCTATACATGAACATGCGCGCAGCTAACATGTTAAATCACAGGGATCTCGCAGCTAACATTTTTTTTCGTCATGAAAATCTTACCAATTATCTACCAGAAAATTTTCAACCACAGTAAACTCCTCCGAAAATCTCCTTTTTTTTGCCAGATACATAGGCTCTCGAAATCATAAGTCACGGATCTTGAGCAGCTAACATGGAAATTTTTTTTCGTCAACATCACAAAGGCCTATACTGAAAAATTCAGCCTCAATATAATGGTTCGGTGAAATTTGACGCTACCTCCCGGACTATTAACTATTCTACATAATTACATTTGTATATCCAAATTTTGGGAGTTAAGCGTGGAAACTTAGAAGGTCAATAAAGAAACCACGGACGTTTATTAACCCTTTGAATTAAAGGTGTTTTTTAAATTAGTTTTCAAATTTTGAGTTTAAATTTTTTAGGGTTTTTTTATTGTATAAATACTTTGAAATTTAATTCATCTTGGATGAAGGGTTTATGGGCCATTTAATTTCGTCTTATCATCGAGAATTCAACAAGCAGAGCAAAATCGTTGCGATCAATTAATCACGTACATCTGTTTACGGGAATGCAGTCCGCTTATCAATATGTAACACGGCCGCTCGCACAATAGCTGTTGAAGATAAGAATTTGGGAAAATTTGGCGTTCAAGGCTCCATCTTGTACAGTGTAAAAACACGTATGTAATCTGTTCTTTTGATACGATTTTCCAACACATTTTGATCAGCGTGTTTACTAAGAACGTTAATTGATATTTTGATTGCGCGGATAAAATAAAAATTGCTCTGATCTCATTTTTGGGAGTCAATCCTGGAAATTTAATTAAATGGTTACATTATCAAAACCAGATTGTGTAAAATTAAGGTGTAAATAAAGTGTTGTCGATATTTTATTTTGTATCAATGTTAAGTGGTCTTTTCGCCCTCTCTTGAGAGGTTTATTTTACTGCCCTGGAGCTAGCCAAGTCAATTTTTCTTGCTGTACTGAATTATAGAAAAAAAAATTGCGTAAGAAAGTGCCATTGCAATTACTCAATTAATTTGGTTGAGTAATCATACTGAATGTATCTCGGAATGCATTTAGATATAAATATAAGGCAACAGAGTCTCGTCCTTATTTGAAAACGCTAATATAATTTTTACTTTTTTTACATATTTTATTGTAACTTTAAATATTTGTATTCATAACATGCAATAATTGATACTTTGTAAGTTTAATGTGAGAAACTTGACGCAGTTGACATGGATTGAACAAATCTTATCACATCCGTAAAGGGGATACACTTTTATTAACTGGTAGGACTACACAAACCCCATTACTTTATTGAACGGTAGAGCCAAGTTATCCCAATGACGTCACGCATAGGCATACCTTGTCTTATTGTACCATGGTTGTGACCCGAGGTTGTTTTATTACAAAGGTTGTCTGGTAGGTAACTCTAAACCAATAGAATGCTTGCATTTTGAAGGCGGGAAACCGTCATCCAGAATACACATTTAAAATTGCTCATAGGTTACAATGCTAATAAAAAGGGTAAAAATTTTGTTTGCAGTATACTATTGGATTTATATGAGTATTTGTATGCAAGGGTGGATCTTATATTGGAAATCTCGGAAGTGCATCGACTTCCATCTTTGAAATCAATCAAAGTATTGAAAAAATGAGTGTGGTGCGTAAGCTATTTTACATTGGGCGAGGACTTCTGTGATGTGGTGACATTTAATGAAAATGTAATCAAGTTAATTTTTTTAGGGGCCTGAAATAATTAACAGTCAAGTTGGCTGTCAACGGGGTGATCCAATAGGACCTGTAGAGGAGTGGACTGTATATTACTTGGTAATTAATCAAAAAAATACGCACAAAGACAACCTTATTAGTTATTAAAACAAAAATTGCCTACCTGGCTGTCCGCGCAGTAAATGGATGATGGGCGATTTTGGTGCACGTTTTTCTTGTCAAGTATTTTGGGGGGTGTCACACACGAGAGAGAAAATGTACCTTTATATCAGCGCACGCGTTTTGTTGAGTCTTGCAGATCAAGTGCCAAAAACTTCCTCTTGGCGAATGCGCGCGACTCTTCTCGGCGGGGACAATAACAAGGCTGTCTTGCTAAACGCGATAACATCGAGCCAGGGAAATTTTAAATTAAATATATTTTGTATAAATCTCAGTTTACAATTAATTAATAACAAAAATAATTTCTGATTTGACTGAACATACCGCCCACCTAAAATATCTAATATTTTATAAAAGAGAAAAAAATCCTAAAATTATGAAAATAGAATGAAAAAAAAATTATTAATTGTTCGGTAATAAACATAACTTCGACACAGGACGCCGCAGGATGCCCTTTTGCGTTTTTACGTTAACTACCCGCGTGACGCCGTCCGCGCCCGGAAAACACTCTATCACTCGTCCCAATGCCCAATGGAGTGGTGGAGAGTTTTCCTCTCGTATTAAAACAAGAGAATCGGTTTTAATGGCAACTGTCATATCATACCATTTTGATCTTTGATTAAGAGTGTGCAAATACTCTGCATGCCATCTCTTCCAAAAA